ATAAATTTAACGCTCGTTGATCAAACTTGTGTACATGCGAGCGCGTCGACTTTGATTTTGCGTTGCTAAGTGAGATTGTGTGATCTAATAAATTAAATGTATTTGTACATGTAACGTGTGTGTAAGAAACTTGAATCTGTCTCCATCGATGCGACGGAGATCTCTTCAAGGCCGACCGGAAATTTGGAGAGAGAGAAGAGGTGGTCCATTCTCGAGAATTAGCACTGACCTAGGGAAGGCCTCGAGGTCGCCGATGGCACACATTCCGAGTGCGTCTATATTAAGTTAACTGCTTCATAGCTGCCGATTGGACTGCCGCTCGGCAACTGCCAATATATAGGTGGACGCACGTACCGAGCTCTGGACGCAGGGCTTAGGCAATGCCAATTGCACGCATCCGCAAATTTGCCACCAACTGGCACGCTTATGTTATAGAGTTACTCCGGCTCTATCTAAGTGACTCCTCTCTCTCTTTCTTTCTTTCTCTCTATTTATCTGTCTTTGTCTCTTCAAGACATTACATAATGTCTCCACACCGATGACATTCGCGCGGGACTGCTCTAAAATCTAGAACGTATTCCTTCGCGGATAAAGAATTGAACGTCGATAAGAAACGGGAATGATTGACTCTCTGAGAAATATAACATTGTAAATTACATCCGCGTGCTTCCGATGTCTGATCGTAATATCGTCAGAAATGGGACCAGGTCGAATGGAAGTTTGTGCGGAAAGAGGCACGACTAGATGTACAACGTTTACACCGGCGTGAGTTGGCCATTAGCCGTAACCGCTTATGCCGACTGATTGAGTAACGATTGCAATAGAAAAATGAAAAAAAAAAAAAACGCTATAGAGCCGCGACGCACCTGCGTGGCTCGTTATCGCGCGCGCGAAGTTGTTAAACGCGAACGATTGTGCGCGGCAACCCTCGGTGATCCGTGACTAATGAGGATACCGCGATTATAAATCCCATCTACATAGGATGAGAAACGATAAATTGAGTTGCAACGGGTTACCTCATAATTGCATTCCTCGAATACGAATAGGTGTCCCCCTTCTGTACGTGTGTGTGTGTGTGTGTGTGCGCGCGCGCGCGCCTTCTGCTCCTGTTGCTCGTTACGAGCACCGATAATAGCCAATTAACCGGGCGATTATTTCATATGAACATTTATTTTAACAATTGACTCGTGATTTTTTTCGCGGAGTCGCACCTTTTTTTTTTTTTTTTTTGAGAGAGAGAGAGAAGAAACACATTGTTACATACGCCACACTTTCTTTTTTCGCACTTTCACAATATTTTAAAAACGTGAAAGCGAGAGAAAGAAGAAGAGAAAGAAACGTTTCTGCAATATGTAGTTTTTTTGTTTTTTCCCCGCAAAGTAGTTCAGTTACCGAGACTCGAAGTTTCGAAATTTCCTACCGTCTTTCTTGTCACGTTTGTATTTTTTTTTTGTCTTAAATATTTGTACAGTTATTTTTTAGCGTGCATAATTGAAGCGGAATATATAGCCGATGTCATAACTTATCCGAGAGAACGCGGCGAATAACTTGAGGAAATTCGTGAAGTAAAATGTGACGTAATATACCGACGCGGTGTGACGGTTCAACGATGTGTGACATGCAATATGACCCTAATCACCGACATTTCATAATGTTCCGTCGCAAAAAGCCACCGCTACGACTGAGCGATACATATGTATGTGCATATGTATGTGCTCATTGAGACAACCAGTCTCTGATTCACAACAGAGTATCTTAAGGATGCACTTCCACATGTAAGATTTTGAAACGTTTCGCACTGGAGGAAAGACAGACAATTATAATGTTTCGAGTTGATTGCGTCGGTCGTACGCAACGTTGAGTCAAATGTCGATTGATTTTTTTTTTTTTTTTTAAATAGCGCACACGCATATGTACGCATAAAGAAAACTAGACACACACACACACACAGAAGAGAAAATAGGGACATTCGCATTTGTTATAAAGTTCTTATTTCTTTTATTATAAATTTAGATTCTTCTTTTAATGCTATGCGCTTTTCTCATCCGTCCGTAAGAACGGTCGAGTAAAAAAGCAATCTCAAAGTAAAAACCTTGATAGACGCGACGATGTTTTCTTAATAACTCGGATGATCTTTTGCACGCTTCTTCTTCTTCAATTTCGATTGCATCGATAAGTAATGACTGCGCGTGTGTGTTGCCGGCGTCGTTTTTAATTCGATTTTCTTCTTCGTTCGTCTTCCCGCGTTCATGCGCGAAGAAAAGAATCTTTTCTGGGTCAGAAAATATAACGTCGAGTTACTGACTCATTGCCGCGCTTATGACCAAAGGCGAGGGACTCTTTGCATAGATCACGCGCACCTGTACTCGGAAAGAGAGAAAGATTGCAGTCGAGGTCGTTTCGAACGCTTCCAATTGGTAAACGCGTGTGATCTGCACTTTGTGCGTGTTTGTATCGATATAAAATGTAAGTGCGAAGAATGTGGGAAAGATATCATATAAGTAATCTGGGAATTGCCGATAGAGTTGTCAATTGTTCACGGGAAGGGATGCGTCATTTTTCCGACAAATCGATGACTCGCCCAATCGTGACGACGCATTACGTTAGTTTTCGCGCAAGTGAATAGAGTAGTTTTGAGCTTTATTTTTTGAGCTTCATATTGGCAAAATTGCGTTATTCAGTTTGGCAACTCAATTTAAAGTAATTTTTTCTCACTCTGGTCTGGTTACGTTTTATTTTTCTTTTTTCTGCGTTTTATTAGAATTACGCTGAAGAAGTGCTTGATGAAGACAATTAGAACTTCCAGTTGGCATGTGTGTTCGAAGTCAGGCATTAGCCGGCGCGAGTTCTGTTTGTATTGCGCGTTTATTAACATATTTTGCCGTTTTTCCCCGTCAAAAGGGGAAACGCCTACTTCCTACCGTTTGCGTAATCCGAATCGGGATCTTTATTTTCTTCGAGGACATTTCTCGATAAGCTCGACGGTTTAGTGTCATCAGCTGCAACGCGAGGTGCGGCCGTCGAGCGAAAGATTCACACGGCCGTTAAAATCCTTGACAGTTGGAAAAGAAACTGGACAAACGACGAATCTTTTTCCAGTATTAAATCGTTGCCACATCAAAATGTTTTACGGATTATCTGAATGTTTTCTCGAAACGTTGTATCTCTTACAGATAATTGAAACCCGATTCATTTCCGGCGTGATTAGCGACGTTATATCGTACAACGATTTCCTGTTAGAAGACGTTTCTTCGGATAGAAGGATAGCAAACACGCTGCAATTGCCTCGTGTTTAATCAGCTTTGATAAAAAAAAAAAAAAAAACACACGCCCGAACGATTTATCACATTTTCAGAAAATATTCTCTTTCGATATCTTTATTTGCTGTCAAAGCAAATGTTTTAATTTCGTGATTTTAAGGATTTTAAATAAAACCTTTCAAAAGAGTAACAAATTGTTTACGAATCTCAATCGATCGAGACGCGATCGACGAAATGAATTTTCTGATTTATTTTCTGATTTATTTTCTTCTGTTGTTGAGACTCTCTTTTGTGTCGCTTCTACAAGATAAGAAGTGGTTGGCAATGAGATGAAGTAGTTAAAGGTCTCGCGCGCCTTCGTAATGCTCAATTAAATCCAAGACAACAATACGTGATTTCCATCTTACAACATATAAAATAATTATATAAAAAAATTATATAAAAAAAAAAACAACAACAACAACATACGCGATCGAGATTTAATTTCTATGCTGAAAAAAATGATCCAGAGACATGGAACATCTGAACGAAGAGGGAATAAAACGAAATTTCTATTACGAGTTGGAGTGATTTAAAACGCGACGTATTAACGATATAATATCAAGTTACAGATTACCGTGACAGGTCGATTCAATTAATATTACGCTACTTATCACGCCGTGCGCTGCGATGTGTATCGCAATTACCCAACGCACGCTGTGCGTCCTCAATGGAAATGCACAACTCGGAGAGTATAAGGAGATTGTATCGCGAAAAGCACAAACTTTGTAGTTCTCTTGTTATCAAAATTACACTCTAATTAAATATCTTGAAATATTCGCGTCACCTCTTCCGCGTAGATGCGTAACAGGGGTACAAAAGTTATCCTCTGATCATTATCTTCGTGACGAATCATCAATGTGTCGCTTCTTTTCGGAGATGTTTCACTCACGTGGGATTCGCTGATAAATAAAAATGCAAAAAAAAAAAAACAACAACTTTCACCGCGATAAATTAGTAAAACTTATTGACAATTATTTAGCCGCGATAAAAACAAAAACACAAGAAATAATCGGAGAATCAGTCAATTAACGGTTGCGACTTATCTTGCACGTGTCTCATTGTGTCTAAACTAAAATTACCCGGAAGAAAATTGTGCTTCACAGTACTGGAACCATCGGCTGTTGAGTTAAGTATCTATTACGCGACTGCAGACGCGCGATGGTACTTAAACAACACCATCAAAAGTCTTCCCGATGATCGTGCGCGACGCACGTTCCCGTCGTATCCGATAAACAACCACTGAACTTCTGCCGGATATCTGGGCGTAATATTTGCCGAAGACACTGGTGGTAAGTGTCACGAGAGCATCTTGAGCTACTCCCGGCACACGTGTGCGGTATATATGTACATATACATATATACATATTCACACGTACACTCTTCCTATACTCTCTTGCGATGATTGAATTGCGAGAGAGAGACTCGCCAAACCACACCGGGTGTCTCTTGGATTCTCAGACCTCGCTGGTTCTTCAAGAAGAGACCGAACCGGCCGGCGTGGCGCGGAGCAGAGCGGAACGGAACGGCGTGGCCGTTCCTACCACTCCGCGCTATCAGAACGTGCACCAGGAGCCACGATGTGGTGGGGCCCCCGTTGTCACGTCGCCGGCACCAGAAGAAACAGCGCGTGGAGCACGCGAAGGGAGAGAGTTGGTAAGCCTGAGCTCTCTCGCGAGTGAGAGAGCGGAGTCGCGGTCTGTCAGAGTCCACAGTCCTAACTCGGCCTCGGGCTGCGATAGATCGTATCTCTTACGCGGCTCTTCCCGATACCGCCGCGGTAACCATCAATCATTCAAGTTCTCGCAGTCGGAGTTTTCGCGCGAGAGAACACGACCGCGCAATCGACTTTCTTCCTCTCCTTCTGCGACGAACCCGATCACGGCCGATCTCGCGAGTGATCGAACGACCTTCGAGCATAATACAGCGTGAAAAGAAATTCTCCCGCGGATGATCATCACCCTCGGTAAATCTACATCGTCTATCTATTCTAAGGAAAATTCTTCTTTTCTCTCGTCGCTGTTTCGATTTCTCCGCCGATTGTCGATCGCGCGGAAGTGAACGCGGAGGGCGGATTACCGCGATCGCGTTCGCAAGAGAAAACACACACCGGGATATTGTTACGGGAGGTAAGTCCTTTCTTTTTTTTTCGCACTTTCTTCAAATGAAGAAAAAGAAATGATGTGCGAAATGATGTACGAAAGAAAGAGAGAAAGAGGGAGAGAAAAAGAGCACGTGTGTAGGAAGTTTGTAGGTGGGAGTGCCGGTAGAGAGAATGAGCAGAATATATTTTTGCGCTTGCCGAGTTTATTTTTTTAATCATTTTGCTTCGAATCGCGCGATCGTTTTTACGCGCGCAAACGAGCGAATAAAATTAACTCTTCTGACGCGAACGCGTATCATCGCAAAAATTTGACAGTTGTAAAAAATCTTCAAACGTAATTTTTCTAATCTCAAACGGATTTTGCAGATAGCGCGAGTTAATTTGAATCTCAGTTGCTAAAATAAATAAAAAACTAGTTAAAATACTTATTAAATTTAAGAAAAATCAAACACGTCGCGCGAAAAGGTCCTCTACAGTGGCATTACGTAATTTTTTTTCATTCTTGTTCGGCCTGTGACGGAATATCTTCCTGCTTCCGCTGCAGTCGAGCTGTCGTGCCACATTCTGCTTTCCGTGAACCCACGTTTCCGGGTTTAGCGATGGAAGTGCGTTTTTCTAAAATTAGAACTGGAAAAGAGAAATAACGCGCGATTGCGCGGATCATGAATTGTCTCTGTTTCAAAAACCGTACTGGTAGTGTGTAAATCGTTATAAAATTTCCGAAGCGCAGAAAAGGGAGCACATCGCTGTGTGCAATTATTTCACCTTCCGCGAACTCGCTTCGAAAACCTGTAATAAAGTTCTTTCGCTGCAAGCAAACAGCGAAATTATGCCCCGATGCAACTATACACGTTTTGCATATGTTGAAATTACTGAATGGTTGGAAGCCAATCATGAAATTGACCAGTCAAAGTTCAATTAATGGTCGAAGTCAGTCTGGAGAAAAAAAAACAGTTCGAAAAAAAACTTCAACCGCTTTAACGATCTTATTCTCATCGATTGATTTATCTCCCGAGTTTGATTTCGAAAGTTTTTATTCGCAGATGGTTTTTGCGATTCGCCATTATAGATCGATTTAATGTAAAGCAAACTACGTCATTTGTTAAGTGACGTAAGCGTTTAACATTTTACCGAGTATTGGTGTTAATAAAGATAAGGCAACAGCTAAAAAAGAATTTCGTTTGTTTAAATTAATTAAGATCAAATAAATCGATATTCGACATATTGATTTACAATTTTGTTTAACATATATTTCTTAAAACGTATCGCGCGGAAATATAATGTGATGATTTTATACAATATTTATGATAACGAGCGTTTGTGTGTGTGTGTGTGTGTGTCTGCTTTTTTTATTACGATTCTGTTCACATACTTGATACCGAGTATAAATGTTACTTGATCAGCGGATAAATAATCCTAGAGAGTTTTAAATCTTTGAAATAACACACATCTATCAATTTTTTTTTTTTTATCTGATAAAATCATCTAGTAAGTGTCGCATGTAAGAAGACACAAATTTTACGAATGTAAATTTTATTTTTTTTGCGTTGGCATAATTGTATGATCAAAAAGTGATCATTTATTTACACAAATCTCTATTGTGTTTATATAAATACCTATGTAATTTATTAGATAAATATCCTTGTGCATATATCTGTGTTTGATAAATGTTTATCTGATTTTTCCAAGAAAAGACAGTGTCTTTCTAAATAATCTTTTTATTTATTTATCTTTTTTTTGACGATAAACAAAGAAATATCATAAAAAACGCGTTAAATTTGGCTCAAGGTCAATTGAAGCTAGAAGCCAAAAAAAAAAAAAATCATGAAGAAATCATTGCGGTGTATCGATATTTTAAAACAATTCACGCAATAATGGGACAATATTCTGTGAGAAATCTCGAACTCTGATCGGACGAGTTTTCTACTCTTCGAGCGACGACTTCCCGTGGAAATTTCTTCGGCATTTTCACGACGCATACGCGCGCTCGCCTCGGGATTAAGTACACCTTGAATACCTTCGTCAGATACCTTCATAGTCGTCGTCGTTGGGGCGGGGCCATTACGTAATGACGTTAATCAGAGGTAGCGGCTAATCCCGAGCGGTACAAATCCGACTTGCATGGAAGCAGAATCTCATCGGCGCGCGCGCTCGCGAGAAAATTAAAAGCCTGAAACTAAATCCCCGGCGACCTTGGCGTTGCGCACTGACGACGCGTCGACAAGTTAGTAGATCTGTCCGAGAGACGTTGCGAGATTGACAATCGGCTGGAGTTGAACAATTCAATTGGCGGGGATGGTGCGCGCGGCTTCGAACGCGCGGGGCTTTGACATGTCGCGATGACACGACGGAATCGAGTTGTATGGTGATTGCGCGCGATTTCCCACATGAATTATGCAGAAACGCGTCTGTCTGTCGGCAAAGCGCTCTTGTCTCGCTTCCGATAAAATTCGCAGATGTCTTTGCGTTTCTTCGTGTTTATGAATTCTTTTGCTTACTCGCGGCGGGCGATCTCCGCCGGCATTGAAAACGCGAGCAATCACAACATATTAAATTTCCCCTTGGGGTCGATCGCGATCGGACCGCGCATGCATGCAAATGACAAATACGCAGAAAAATACGCTGTTACGCGCTCCCGGGCTCGCGGCTACACACAACAAATCACTTCCGAAAGTCGCCTCGACGTAAATAAACGCGCGCTCTTGAAATTAAGTCGTTCATCTCCACCGACTTTCAAAATGACCGATGGATATTGGCCGAAATTTCGCGAGCGCTCGTTATTTCAAAAACCGACCATCACCACCTGCTCTCGAAAGTAAATGACTTACTCGTGTGTAACGTCTGCAAATAGAAACGAGGAAATATTCCTCTACTTTTCATCACTTGTTTGAAATGTGATAAAGAGTTACACATCCGTGCGCGTTGCGTTTCTTTCGCAACAATTAAACCGTTTTTTGTTGAGGTTTCTTTTTTATAAATTTATAATCTTTGGTTTTTATTTTACCACGGACTCTCGAACGTATTTGTCGTGCAAAAGAAATATATTATTCGAACGCACCAAACCAATTTATTTTCAAGATCATAGTCCAATTCGCTGTGTATCTGCAAATGTGTCGCGTGCACGACGCATAACACGCATTTTGAGCCGAGGTTTGTTGCGACATATCAAATCGTGAGCGATTTTCTCGTTGTTCTCGTCGAACGACTTATTTGTCTCGCAAACACGTCGACGGCGGAAGAGACAGTTGCCGATGCAACGGTCGCGCCGCGCGGCGTGTCCGTATCGTCACGATACAAGTTCCCAGGTGTTTACGACCACGCAACGTCATCGAACCCACCTTTACCTTTTCAGTTGTCGCGCGCGGCAACCGTGTGCATCCGTATGCATGCGCGACGTTACGGTACGCCACGTTGGTATCTTCGCTTCGACTTTGCGCCTCGCAAGCAACATCGGGAATGTGAAAACACCGTCGCGGACGACGTCTTTCCACGTCACAAGGTAACGACGCCATTCAGCTTTCCTAGCCGCACGATAACGACGTTTCGCACGTGCACGGGTACGTTGTACGTACGTACAAATTTTTTCTCGCGGTTTTTTAACACGCGAGTTTACGCAACGTTATTGTGAGACAGTTTTAATTCGAAGAAAAATAATCTACGCGCTCGCGTAAATAATATTTCAATAACTGTGTCTTTTTATAAGAATCAGTATGCACGCACACGTGGCAATATTCTATGTGACAAATCCTGTGGACATCGAGATCGTTGCGAAATCCATAATGTTTTTTAAATTCGCGGCACAATATGCTTTCTCTTATAAAAAGATGTCTCGACGTCTAAATCGTTTGACTTAAAAATAAATTAAAACCGCACATCAACCGTTTAACGCGATAACGTAAGTAAAATATATCAAAGTTCCCCACAATGTGGTTACGTAAGTATCTCATAAAAAATATTAATAAATCGTTAGATTCGACGCGAATTTAAAAAAGAAACAAAAAATTATAGCTCTGTCGAGAGATTGAACATTTGAAAAAATCTGAATCTATTCTGTGGAAGCAAATTAATAACATGCATTGAACAATAGCATCGTTTCTGTTGTATCTCTGCGTTTGTTTTTGCTGAACAACATTGGTTTTTATGTAACGAGAGTTTAAGATATGAAAATCATAAATCATTTCTCTCAGAGATTTTGTTCAGCAATTGACGCGTTGCTCCGTGCTTTGCAATGCAAATGTATTGGATTTTTTTTTTTTTTTTTTAATACGTATAAAACTTCCGATAAAAACTTTACACAAGATACGCTTCAGATTATTGCAGTGTAAAGAAAACAAAACCGCGATAATATATCGCGGCGCTCGCAATTTAAAAATCGTGCGAGGCGCTTTATTGCTCCTCTCGAGAGGATCTTACGTACTCTCCCCTTTATCGCCCGCTTATCGATTCGCGATAACGTAACGCGCACATCAAACATATCGTTCTTTATCTCTTTGCGCCAACAGTTCTCTCTCTTTTTTTTTTTTTTTTTTTATGAGAATTTTGAACTTGCGCATCTCACTGTCTCGTTTCGTTCGGTTAACAAATTTCACGCTCGAAATGTCATTCGCGACTACATTTTTGAATATAATATACATTTGTTTCTTTTTTTAAATTATTCAATTCATTTTATACGTCGTGAGACAAGCATTTTCAATCATCTACATCAAATTTACATTAATTAAGAAACTCGAGACATTGATATAGTTCAGTTTTAATATATTTTTCATTATATTTTTAACGTGTTAAAATCATGTATCATAATCAGATATTTTATTAATTTATAATCTCGAAGCGCGTAATCTGTATGTGCCAAACACGATTTTTATCACGATATTGTTGATCAAAACCTTGAATTGAAATAATCATCTTTTTTTTTCTTGACCTCTAATGTTATGCGTGTCAAGGAGAAACTTGTACAATGGAAATGGATCTCTATAAATATTTTATGCACGGTTGTGCTTAAGACAATAACACAATAGAGAAGAT